GATAAGGGTAAGGAATTAGCCAAAACAATAATGTAGGAAGGCCATAACATTGATCCTATATATGCTTCGATAAGAACCGTTCAAACTGGGCATTTATCTGTACCAGAAGCCCACGAAGAAACGTATGAAATAGTCTATGTAGAAATACTTGAAATAACAAACAACCGGTGGTTCAATCAAACTTTCAATCCACAAGCTTCTTTGTAAAACAAAAATCGGTGCAGACAATGAAAGGCCAACAACTTCACTTAGGTCAATTCTCAAAAGAAGCCTGACAATTAGATGATGTCTGAACGCTTCTATCATCACGATCTGTGCCTTGATTCATGCCTATTGTGCCAAGAAAAATGGAGAAAATAGCTTCAAAAGTACAGAAGCACATGAATCAGAGAATATTGCTCCCCTTCAGATTAAAGGAGAGGTTTTCATCAAGCAAAACTATTCTCAAATGCTAAATATAACACTTAAGATTAAAAATTGTATTATTTTATATACTGAGGCTACCAATAATAAAAGTTTAAGGGAGAAAACCTGCTATTAAGTTATTGGTAGTCTAGGCATCGTTAAGTGATAGTAACGTGGGAAAAACATTTACTATCTAGGCATATCCCAGCTATAAGTGAGATAAAAGGAGCCAAGCTTAGATTATGACTCTCAAGACGCTATGTGGGTGGTCCAGAGGTGAAGAGCTTGTCTCCAGACCCTAATGTTCTGGGTACAAATCCCAGTAAGTATTCTTAATAAAAGGGTCCTTTTGGGATATATAGCACAATATAGATATAAGGCAAGCTTCCGGTAAGATTAGCTTACGAATCCTTCCACCCGCCTCTTTAAACGAGATGAAAGGTACTCCAGCAGCAATCTATTAAGGGCTGCCTCGAAATACAGTTTTGCTACATATCTACGCAGTACGTGTGGATACCATCCTTTCCAAGAATCATTACTTTACACCAAGGCCAGGAAAGCACTGGCCCGGCGAATGAGTCATATTCGCTTTTAGAAAGTAAATTTATCACGTAGGGCTGTGCTCCTAAATTTTTTATTATGGAGACCAAATTTGCCTAAGAGAACTAGGTAAGTCGTTCAGAGTGCATCCCAGGATTTAGTTAATATTAAGACTCAATAAAACACAAAATTACACTCAGGTGTATCCATCCTATTTCGTTTAAAAGTGATGAAGGAATGGTAACTGAATTTTCCCACAATGATATGAATATACCTTGCAGTTCCATTGAATTTCACATATCCTTGCTTCCCAAAAGACGTTCTCATCCAGGGCGGACTGCAGTTCCGACCTCGCTTAGGTCTTATCAAGACCCCCGGCGGAACTCGAGCCATGACAGTGCGACGTGTAATCTCGGCACGTCAATCTCTACGCCACATTGCCACGAATGTCCTTAGGTCGCAGGGCAGATTTAAATTTCAAGGAGGGCCAGGCATTTCCCCATTTGTTATAATAATCGATTACCAAGGTTAGTCTAGAAACTCTACTCATAAACGAAAAATAAAATTAGTCTTTGATGAGGAGGAAATCGAGATTACGCCAATCATTGGATGAAACTTAGTCAGGACTTCTGTAGAATTCAAAAAATGACGAGCAGGCTGTATGATGGAGCTATTCAACAGGTAAGATACAGACATGATAAGATGCCTAAGAATTTTGTTATAAGAATCAGGACAAAAATGATCAAAAGACATTAATGGCATATGTTAGGGAACAAAGTAGGTGGGGTGGTAAACCTGTCCGAAACAGCATTGGATGTTGCCACCGAGGAAATGTTCTCGAAAGGTTTGAACATTGGTTTGCCAAACAGCAAGAATAATAAAGGGGAGATACTAGTGTAAGTCATAAGGTTTACCCACCATCTCCCAGAAGAGACAGAAGAGAAGATATTAAATTACAGGCAGTCGTTTTACTTGATAGCGATGTAGAAATACCACATATGAATAAGAATGAAAAACATCATATGCAAACTAAGTGATAAGGACCAACAAGTGTTGATGGCAGAGAATGGAGGAGCAGTGGCTGTTAAACATAGGCTGAGATATGTAGAAAAAATGATGCAGGCTCTAGATGACATTGACACATTAAATAACCACCATACGGAAACCCTTAAGTCTAGATTCAGGGGTTGGGGTTTACCCCACATTGCGAGAAAAACAGGGAACTAGAGAAGTGGAAGATGAAAACACTTCTTCGATGAGATGCCGGGCCTCGAAAGGCATATTGTCAGCCCAAAATACAATGAGAATGAGTCCCACTTATGAGTGTGAATAATAGGGGCAGCGTAATGCATAAAACATCATGATTTATGTGTCACCAGTTAAAGCATATGTCCAAAATGTGGCAAATTTAAGCTAAGAATTCTTATGAGTTCGTTAACTTAGTTGACGAGCAGGAGATATAAAGTGGGGACTTACTGGAAAGTTTTGATGTTGAGTCTACGTATACTAAAATTCCTGTAGACGATGCCACACAAGCTCTACAATCGACATTAGACAAACTCCTGAAGATTTTGAGAAGTATTAAGTTAAGTAGAATCAAAAATGATATTAAAAAATTTGGTCATACACTGTACATATTTTACCCTTAATGATAAACTGTGCGAACAAACGAGGTTTAGCAATGGGTTCGTGCTTGTCTCCAAGGTTAGCAAATAATTGTAAGGCTAAACTTGAGGAACGTCTAATTCAAGAGGCACTTTTAATCCCTAAATTATTGAATATATGAAGAACAAGATGTTGTGGCCTCTGTTATGGTCGCAGTCTTCTTTCGATTT